TGTGGTTTATTTGTGTGAGGTGCCGATAATTGAATATAATAATAATAATAATAATAATAATAATAATAATAATAATATACCCTTAAAACACTAATTTTCAAACCATGTTCAATGGTTCATATAGAGTAAACAGCCCATTGAAAACAAGGAATTTCAAACTTCTTAAAATTTAGGATATTATTTATTTTAAAATTTCGTGCCTGTGTTATAGCACATTGTTACCAAGAACATTTCAATTAAAATTTACTGAATACGTTCTTGCACTACTGTTACTGTTAACATTAACAGACCCTCAAGCATCAGAAAGAAGATACGTATATACTCAAGATTTTAGTTCTGTTAATGGAAGTACGTCAATAAGGAGCAATGAACTGCTTTGTGGCTACTAAATTTTCAACACATCGGCCTAATTGAGGAAGACGTCGAGCCGAGTTAGGTAGGCCGCACACCGGCATGCGTCAAGGCATGTAACAGTCAAGACACGATGTCTGCGACATAACGCAAAGAAAGGAGCACAGTTGAAACGAATAAGATTATGAAAACCGCCGCACACCGGTCTGATTCATGATGTTGACGTCAGCTTCATGTTGACGAATCATGAAGGAAGCAAGACTGCGTCTTTTGTCTCATGTCTTGATACTTGTCTTGACGCAGTTGGTGTGCGGCCGCCCTAAGCATGGCAGGCCACGTGCGAGCTGTGTGAAGATGCTGGAAATCATCATCCTAGCGTTCAAGCCATGCATCGCGAGGCAGTGGGAATGGTTCTGGAACTGTGAATTCCTTCACGATTCTCTGCTTCAGAATATAGAAATCAGGTAAATCAGCTATCGAACATTCACTTTATTCAGATTACAAATCTTTACCTTAAATTACGGTACTTAAAAGTTTTTACCACAAACAAACACTTTGCAGTATCGCCACTAAACAAACACAAAAGCCAGCAAAGGGAAGGAGAGGACCAAACAGGCATCCACAACTTCCCCCTCCCAGGGATTTGGAAAAAAATGAAAACTGAAAGGGGAATGAAATGCACCAATATCTATACTCTAACTTGAAAGTATCAAACAAATATTCTTCTATCCAGATTACAAAGATTACAAAAGCGTATATTTCTTCAACAGAATCGGCTGAAATGTAAATCTGTAAGAAAATTCTCCGGCTGCCTCCCTAAGAATAAATGTTACTTCCGTATCTTTGGGAAATTGTTTCAAGCAGTACATTTCTATAATAATACATTTGTATGAGCCGGGGTAGCTCAGTCGGAAAAGTGACAGACTACGGGCTGGACGGCCGGGGTTCGATTTCCAGGAGTGACAGGGATTATTCTCTTCTCCACAGAGCCCAGGCCGGCTCTGTGGCCCACCTAGCAACATATACATTGGGTACCGCAGTCTCATTCCCCGGAGACAATACGACCGGGGCGTGAAGCTGATCAATCGTCTCCATCTAGTGCCGAGGTCAAGAATGATGGAGTTATACTTCCACTCCCGGAGACGTCTTCATGGCGCGGTGCTTAATTACTTAAGCACAGGGGAAAATTCACTTTTTTTTCCCCTTGGCACTACAGCCCCAGTGGGCCTAGGCCTACCTTCATGAACAAATTTACATTTACCATTACCTAATTATACACGTGCGGTTTATAAAATGGGTAGCATTTCCTACGATAGTGGGGAGAAAGTAGAGGTTGTGAATATGCAAACTATAACGATGGTATCATTTAATTCTATGCTAAATAATGTTTGCAGATGACTTAAAATTAGGTAACCTTTCAACTAACCAATCCGCTAAAAAAAATATTGTGAATTACGATGGGCATTACATTACAAATATACTGTGACCATTATGGCAACGTGAACGGGCCGGTTCGCCTACAGTGAATAGGGTAAATAGTTTCTAATTGAGGGAGGTGTGGGACGTGTTTTACGCGTCTGTACGTGTGGTATGCTACGAGAACTTTGTGGGCATCCCTGAATCCACACAGTCGCCTTTGTTCAACTTAGGCAGGAGGAGGGGAAAAAAAAAAGACCTTCAGATAGCTAACTTCCCGACTGAGCAATTGAAGCCGAACTTATAGGCCAAGAGAAAGCCTTTTTTTTTTTGGTGGAGGAATGTAACAGGATTATGTGAAGGACCGCATTCATTATTATCTGATAAAAGTCTTACGGACAACCCATCGAGTTGGTACGTCTTATTGTTCTGTATGCTGTATTCCGTTGCATCAACAGTAAGAAGTCTTTATCTGTATTGCCACTAAGTATGAAAATCAGTGACAGACATAACCTCACATGAAGTAAGATACATGCGACTAACCTGNGTATTGCCACTAAGTATGAAAATCAGTGACAGACATAACCTCACATACATGCGACTAACCTATCACGGATTCTGTTGCCGCTTTTTCGTTTAAACTCTGTCATGTCTTATATTTCCGACAAAGTGTACACATATTGTAGTATTATTCAAGATTAAAAACTGTCATTTTCAATCAGCGCTACACTGAAGAGTACTGCCTGAAATGTACCGCTTCGTAGTCCGGTAGAAATTCACCGACTTGGAGCAACAACCACGACCACCACGACAACCACTATGTTCAGGGTTGAAGAGTAAGCGAAGCAATATTCAAGTTGGTTATTTAATCACACTGACAGTATCTGTCAATATCAAGACGATAGAGACGGTCGAGACCAATAGAGACTATATAATCACGGTAAGTAGGAAGCAAGCAGGTATTTTCCTGACCGACTGTTCAGCCTTGGAAATGGAGAATTTGTGTTTGTAATGTCAGTGCACACTCATTCATTCATTCATTCATTTACATTCCATGGATCCTTACATGGCTGGGAAGACTAGCTGATATGGAAATAGTCAATGAAAATAAAGTCACATGAAGTACATAAATACAAATTAATTATACTTAATTTATTACAATTACACATGTTATCTGAGTCAAATCACAATGAGCACATCATTAAACAGTTATAAAATATATATGTAAAAGCATGCAACATACAAATATCAAATAAGACTACAATAATAAAAAATATACAACTACCCATCCAGTGTATAATAGACCAAGAAGTTAATAAAAGTAGAAATCTTTTTAAAGCAAATCTAAATTGTTTTATGTCATGAGCTAAGTTCTTTATGCTAGAAGGAAGACTATTGAAAACCTTGATTCTGAAATAGTATGTTCTTTTTTTAAATGCTGTTAAATTACATATTGGATAATGGAAATTATTATTGTGTCTTGTATTAATGCTGTGAATCTCAGAGTTAGATTCAAATTGTACTTTGTTTTTAACCATAAATAACAAGAGAGAAAATATGTACTGTGATTGGAGGGGCAAAATTTTCAGTTTCTTGAAGAATTCCCTGCAAGAGTCTACTTATAGAATTAGTAATAAATCTAATTACCCTTTCCTGTAGCCTAAAAATATGAACACTATGGGGAGAATCACCCCAAAAAATTGTACCATAAGTCATAACAAAATGAAAATATGAGAAATAAATCATTCTTATTGTTTCCTGTGACATAAAAGGTTTAACAGCCGTGATTGCATAACACTACATGGTGTTAATCATATAGTTTTCATAGTCACTGCTGTGAGAACCACAACTTTCACAATACTATGTTTACTTTATGCCACCTTATGCAGCCCGTCAATAACGTTTTTTCAGTTTAGTTTTTAAGCATACTTCTAAGAAGTCTGTAGGTATGTAAATATCCCAGTAGGCTACACATGCCTATTTTAGACATTCTCATTTCAATCTGACTTGCTCAGTGTCTTTCTTTTGCAAATTATACATTTCTGTAACATTTTTATATGTGAAGATGTAGAAATAGAGCAAATTGGAGATATTGGAAGTTTACAGGAAATGTTATGCAGGAGTAAAGTAAAAGTAAAGCTATCCCTGTAACAGGCCGTGAAGGCCCATAGGGTTGTGAGATGTTAAGGGTCCCACATTACCTTGACAATTGGCTCAAAGATGGCGGTAAGGTTGTCAGCCTTACGCACCGGCCGCGCTTCACTCCCCAGGAAAATTATTTCTAATTCATTCCTGGTACTCATTTCTGTTAGAGGCTGAGTAAATCCCAGGGCCTAGTGCGGCCAGAAGGATTAGGTCAACTGAAAAAAATCCAGTGACCTCATTGGGACTTGAACCCGCGACCTTCCAGCTTGTAGCATAGTACCTTAACCACTACACTACCATGTACCTGTAGTTTATTTATTTATTTATTTATTTATTTATTTATTTATTTGTAATTACATTTCATAGATCCAGTTGTTATCCAGTAGGGCTGGATATAAAATTTGTCACATACAAAGTCTTACATAAAAGATCACATGCCATAAATATAAATATACAGTATTAAATATAACATATAAAATTTAAGATATAACTTATTAAAATATGTATAAGGTAAATAGAGCCTCATGCAAAGAGCACAAGTTGTCAGTCCAACTTTCCCATTTAGAAAAATACATATATGTTAAGTCCATTCTCAGTCTTAACTGACTAGAATTGTGAAGTGTTAAATTAATCAGTACTGCCACTATTAAATCCAACCAAAGGGAGTAACTTACAAATATATTTACTCATACTATTTATTTACCATCTATTTTTGTAACTCCTGTGTGCTCTATAAATTCAGCAGATATCTTAGTAAAGCCTTCCTAATTTGATTTTGGTCTGTTCTCAAAATTATGATACTGTTAGGTAATACATTAAATAGCTTGATATCTGAGTAATATACACCTCTCTGATAAGATGATAAACGAGAATCAGGTACATGAAGATGATCATTATTCCTAGTGCCAATCATATATATAGAGTTATTTTTCAAAAACTTATCATAGTTGTTCACAACATATGTCATAAGTGAAAGCAAATATACACAGGGAATTGGCAATATTTCAAGCATCTTAAACAGGTCACGACAAGTGTGGGTTGGTCCCGCTCCCATCATTATTCTTATTGTTTTCTTTTGCATAAGAAAAACTTAAGACAATCAGGAGTATTACCCCAGTATGTTATTCCATATTTCACTAAAGAGGGATAATATGCATACTAAACAGATTTTAAGTTTTTTGTGCTTAGTACGTCGGATAATTTTCGCATTAAAAATCCAACTGTGCTCAACTTGTGGAGTAACTGGTCTATATGTGCTTTGCAAGTCAGATGATTATCAAGCTGCAAACCTAAAAAAGTTGTCGATTCAGCTGTTTTCAACATTGTAATAAGAAGCAAAGTATTTAGCTGATAATCAGTAGCTACTGTTGGCATAAATTTTATCATTTTAGTTTTTTTCAAGATCTAATGCAAGAAGGTTGGCCTGAAACCACCTACTCATGTGACTACAAACAATATCCAGTTTTATTTTTAGATTGTTGAAATCTTTGGATGTACAAAGGATGCTTGGGTCATCTGCAAACATGATGACTTCTGAAGTTTTACTTATTTCGAGGGGAAAATCGTTGATGTAAATATTAAATAGCAGAGGTCCTAGTACCGAGCCCTGAGGCACTCCAAAATGGACTAGGTCCCAGTCGGAGTAATATTTGTTATTGGTATACTTTGGTTCAACCCTTTGTTTCCTATATTGAAAGTATATGTTAAACCATTGCAAGAAGGAGTCCTCAACTCCATAATATTGGTGTTTCATCAACAGGAGTTCATGATAAACACAGTTGAATGCCTTGGCTATGTTGCAGAATATGCGAACTGCATATTCTTTTCTGTTCCAAGCAGTAAGTGTTTTATTAGTTAATTTATAAATAGCATCTTCAGTAGACAGTCCTTTTGGGAATCCAAACTGCTGGGGGACTAATATTTTGTGTGCTGTAATATTGTGACTTGTTGCACTATGGAGGACGCCCTTCCCTCCCTGCTAGCCATGACGTGCCGAGTGGAGCCGAAGTGAGCCGAGTCCAAGCACGCTGGTCACTAAGCAAAGCCAGTCAACACCCTGTCTCTCCCCGCGGTGATGTAACACAGGATGCCGCAGTTGCTACATAGCCGTAAACAACTCCCAATAGCATTGCTAGGCTATCGGCAAACACGGCGACTAGGCAACAAGGAAGCGAGGCGTTTCCCATTGTCCGGCTGAGGGTTTATTAGAGAACTACACTGCCTACGAAGTCAGTTAAAGTGTAGCAGCTGCCGAAGACAGTTGGAGTATAGCAGCAGTCATGGAAAGAAGATCTGAACTCGTGGTTAGAAGATTTGATGCGATAATTTGTGATACTGCCAATGGCAGTAATTGTGAGATTGTAAATCGTGTGGTTATAAGAGCGAGTGTGAAATAAAATTCGCTATATCCATAATGGCGTGAAGTTATTTGTCGTGTTATACACCCAACACGTTACAATTTGGTGTCAGAAGTGGTTACGAACTTACACACGTGACCATCAGAAGTGCGTTACGAACGTAAACACGCAACGAGTAGAATGAATTATTGTGCGCCTAGTGCTGCCCTACAAACTAAAAAATGGAGCATGTCTTAGAGCTCTTGAAGTCCATGCAAGACGAAATTTGAACCAACCAGGCGACGGCAGAGGTCACAAGGAAGAAAGACAAAGACAATATGCTGAAAGAGATGAAGGCCATGCAAGAAAATAGGAAGACAGACAAAGAGGATTTCCTGGCGAAATTAGAATTCAATCAAGAGAAAGCAAATATCATGCTGGCAAAATTAGATGGCGATAGGAAGGCCGAGAAGGAAGAAATGGAGGCAAATAGGAAGAAAGACAAAGAGGAAATGCTGGCAAGAATGGATGCCAACATGAAAACCCATCAAGAAGAGATGAAGGCCGATAGGAAGGCCGAGAAGGACGAAATGGAGGCAAACAGAAAAAAAGACAGAAGATTTCCTGGCAAAATTAGACGCCAACCAAGAAAAAGCGGAGATCAGCCACAAGGAACTCCTAGCCAGATTGAAGGATGACAAACAGGCCAATATGAAAGCATGGTGAGAATAAATGGCCGCCATGAAAGACAAAAGGGTAAATGCCAACCACAAAGAGACAATGACCTGCCAAGAGATGGAGGTATGTCCAGAAGAAGAAGAGCCGGCCTCAGTGGGCCTGAAACCTGAGGCAACCGACCACCGAGAGGTACCCGTAAAAGACGCCGAAGTAATGCCGGTCGGAGAACCGAAGAAGAAAAGGTGTAGGGACCGAAAGAAGCGGAATATGAAGAATTTGACACGGGAAAACTGTGGACCCCGGATGAAGTTGGCCGCCCCCTGCAGGAAGGTGTCCCGCTGTGCAACAGTGGTATGGCTCAGGAGGAATATCTTCAGGAAATCTTGGACCCGAGGAGATTATGTATCCCGGATGAAGTTCGCTGCCACCTGCAGGAAGGTATCCCGTCGCGCAGCAGTGGCTCGACGTTGGAGAAATGTCTTCAAGCAGGAAACAACCCAGGGAAACTTCGGATGCCGGAAAAAGGAATTGGCCGTCGACAATTGTCTACACTGTCTCTGCAAGCATCCTCATGATGAGTCTCAACCATTGCGAGCTGCCCGTGGCAGCGTAGAGAAAACAGCAGTGGGCACTGTTGCGCCACGGTCTTGTACCAGCAAGTGGCGGGAAGACCAGGCGGAACGACGACGTCAGCAAGTGCAGGCCACATTGTTACGTCGACAAAGAAAATTTCTGAAGAAAGTAATGATCAAGAATTGGACCTTGTGGAGGGGTCGACCCTCTCCAAAACGAAAAAAATTGAATAGCACACAGGAGGAGCCGGTAACATAGCAGTACCGGCCTCCCGAGCAAGAGTGAATGTGTGACGAATGAATGTGATACAACCGGATCTTCTGGCAAGCTAGCAGGAAACTGCTCGAGATGAGCTGGTCTTAAGAGGGGAGCGGTTGTAACGGCCAGAGAACAGTCACTGCAAGGAGTAGCCGAAACATCAGGAGACAACCAAGCACATCCTTGGAAGAAAAGGAACGGGGGTGCACCATTAGGCTATTCGGGACGAACAGCCTTAAGGAGGGAGCAGTGTGACGTGTTGCGCTATGGAGGATGCCCCTCCCTCCCCGCTGGCTGTGCTGTCACCGTTGCAGGTTGCTGGGCTTTTGTCGTTGCCGATCGCTGGGCTGTCGCCCTCGCCAGAGGCTGTGCTCTCACCCTCGCCGGTGGCTGTGCTGTCACCATTGCAAGTCGCTGTGCTGCCTCTGTCGCAAGTCGCTGTGCTGTCTCTGTCACAAGTCGCTGTGCTGTTGCCCTTGCCGGCAGCTAGCCTGTCGCACTCACCGGTGGCTGTGCTGCCTCCGTCGCAAGTCGCTGTGCTGTCGCCCTTGCTGGCAGCTAGCCTGTCGCACTTGTCAGTGGCTCTGCTGTCGCCCTTGCCGGCGGCTACCCTGTCGCACTCGCCGGTGGCTGTGCTGTCTCCGTCACAAGTGGCTGTGCTGTCAGGGTCTCGTGTGGTGTTCTGAGGCACAGCTCTTAGACGTTTCGTCAGTTCCTCCAATCTCCTCTGTCCTCTGTTCGTCTCTTTCATTGTCTTCCTCATCTTGTTCTTCTCACATGGAGCGTCTTGCCTTCTGAGAGGCTCGAATTTCTCATGAAGTTGTTCCCTTCGCTCCTGCTTTGCACTTGTGTTCAAGGGCCATGCTTCTGTTGCTGACGGATCCATTTCTTTGAGTTCAGGAGCCTGTAAACTCAGTGTCTGTGCGTTTTCGTCTCCTTCAGACACTGAGTTTTCTGCTCCCCCCTGGTTTTCCGCTGCACTCTTCAGGCCCAGCTCCACAGCGTCCGCACTGTTCAGCATTGAGCACTGTGCTTCTCGCTCATGCAGAGTGTAATATGCATGGTCGCCCGTGCTACATGTCACTGTGTGGCTGCCTTCGTTCCTGTAACTGACGCTGTTCCCTTCGCCGGTCTCTGTGCTGTCACTGTCGTTCACTGGGCTGTCGCCCTTGCTGCTGTCTGTGCTGTCACCATCGACAGTTGCTGGGCTGTTGTTGTCGCCGGTTGCTCGGCTATTATCGTTGATGGTCCCTGAGCTGTGTCCCTCCCCCACAATATGATCATTGAGTCTTCTGTAAATTACCATTTAAAATACTTTAGCAAACCCAGTTATGACTGATATTGGTCTATAATTATGTATAATAATTTTGTCTCCTTTTTTATATATTGGATTAATCACTGCATATTTGAGTCTTTCAGGATATATGCCCATTGTTATTGAGTTATTAATTATATAAGCTAAGGGTTTACTTATTTGTTGTCTACACAGTTTTATTAATTTGCTAGTTATACCATCATATCCTTTGGATTTGAGCTTACTGATCACACTAATTATCTCATCTTCAGTGACGAAATTAAAGTTCATAGCAAGGAAACCATTTGGACAATAAGTATACAAATATTCATTGCTGCATGTGAGTTAGTTTTCTTTATATTGAGATTTTCTGTTGTTGATGAAAAATATTTATTGAAACTATGGGCTGCTCCATCAGTATTTACTTTTACAGTATTGAGTTGATATGATTTAGGTAAAGTATATTTGCTGTTTTTATTCTTCCGTCCCGTTTCCCTATTAATAATGCGTCATGTTGTTTTTAACCTATCCCCAGCTGATACAATTAGTCAATTATAACGTAATCTATTCACTTCTCTTATTACTCTTCTTAGTATCCTACAATAGGTTTTATAATAAGATTTCAGTAGATTATCATTATTTTTACTAAGAGTATACAGAAATTTACGTCTACAGGAGGTGTGTATTCCCACTGTTATCCATCCATTATCATTTTCTTTCTTAATTACATTTTGCTGGAGAAAACATGATTCATAAATAAGCAAATACTTATTTAGAAAAGAATTATATGCTTCATTAACTTCACTTGATTGATAAATATTGTGACACATTTGCGCTATGCATGACACCCCCTCCCCCGTCAGCAGTGACGTGGCACCTTCGGAGCGTTGCCATTGCCAAGGTGATAGGCCAGTCATCACCCCGCCTCCCTCCAGCGGTGACATAACACGGGATGCTGCCATTGCTACTCAGCAGTAAACAACTCCCGACAGTGTTGCTAGGCTATCAGCAAACACGGCGCCATACAACAGTGGTGCCTATTACATAACTGTTTTCTGTGTTGTCCGTAACGGGGCTAAATAAGGAACAGCGAAGACTATTCAAGAGTTAGTTAAAAGTTGGCCAGGGAAGAGTGTGCAGTCTAGGATTTGTAATACTGCAGATAGCAGTAGTTGTGAGATTGTAAACTTTGTGATTGTATGAGCGAGTGTGGAATAAAATTCTCTATATCCAATAAGGCGTGAAGTTATTTGTTTCGTTATATACCCAACACGTGACAATATTTTCCCAACTTTCATTTCCTATTTTATCTTGAAATTATGCTATAGAATCTTTGTTTACAATTCTAATCGTATTTCCAAGAACCTCATGCATGAGCAGACTGCTAATATTCTTCAGTATAAGACATTGTGCATAGTGATCTGACAAACCACTGGCATTCAAGACAACATCATACAAATTTCTCCTTGTATTATCAATAAAAATATCTATTAGAGAGCTACTGCTCTCAGTTATTCTTTTTGGTAACTGCACAGAGTTAAAAACGTTAAAAGATTATAACAGCAACAGCAACTTTGTCTTACGCACTGCATCATTTATAAAATTTACATTAATATTTTCAATTCGGTTTTTATTCTGTGTAGGAATTTTAGTACTTTTTCAGGCTTGTTTATAAAGTAATTAAAATTTCCACTAGGTGATCTATATACACATATCACTAGTAAGTTTTGTTTCACTATCATGATCTTAAGGACACATATTTCCAAATTTTCTTCGTCACAAAACTGGGCCAGATCTATAACAACAAATTTGATAGACTGTCAAATATATATACAAACCCCTCCGGCGTGATGAAATTTATGAGCATAACTTGCTCCTAGTAGGTAGTTCTACATATTGCTATACAATAATTTGAGGTCCGTCATACAATGTTCAGAGAGACATATTATGTGAGGGCTTAAGTTTGTCACTAATGAACAATTCAGTTCATCAATTTAGTTTGCAAGACCTCTGATATTTTGGTGAATAATAACAAAGTGGTCTTTGGCTTGCTTACGTATATTTAATAGTGACTTGCTTGGTTCAGATTCTATACCCATAAAAAGTCATTATTTCTTACTAGTGGTCTCCTTTTCCTCCTATTACAATGATGAACTTCTTGGCTAGGCGATACACCTTGGTTTTCCTTATATGTATTAGTTTCACTGTTCCTTCTCTCTTTTTCATCCTGGTTGGGTGAACCATTCCTTGGGGCTGCTTTGGTTAAAAGCTCTGATCCTGTTGGTTTTGCTTGCTCAGTTAGAGCAGTTCCCACATCAGGGGGATAACTTAAGTTTTTAACTGTGATTCAACTTTTCCTTCTATAACAGAAGATATTTTCTCTGCCATTGCCATTTTACCTTTTTTTATTATAATGAAGTCCATGGCTAGTATAGTGTCCTCTTCCCATGTCAGCTTTAACTAAGCTTACTTTATTTAGATTATTTACCACTTTAATTAATCTTCTGTTAAATCTCTCTATTTCCTCATTAACACAAGAGCTAAAATTTAAGTCAAATCTATGGGGTACTGTAATTACTATGCTATTGGTAGAGACAATATTATTTGAATTCTGATATATGCTTTGCTGATGTAACAGGGAAGTATTTTCAGAAGAATGAGTAGTATGCATATGGTGTGGGTGTGTACTCAGTTTATCATTTGTATGTATATGTAAAAAAAATCATTGTGTATGGAATATATGAAAATTGATGTAAATTTGAAAAGTCCCTTGCTCTGCTGTTACTGGTCTGTTGCAAATGAGTTCAGTGATAGCTCATGAGAGGCTCCAGTGGGAAGATCTTGTGAACATGGCATTGAATTTTCAGGTTTCAGGAAAGTCAGAGAATTTCTTGACTAGATGAGAGATTATTAATTTCTCAAGAAAGATGCTTCTCCATATAGTTAGGTAGGGAGCTATTTTACATTCATCCCAGAACTTGTGCTCTATATATTTTCTTGGTTTTTCTCTACTTGTTTCAGATACAGAATTATATAATGGAAACACTACACCCAGTAGCAGCACTCAGTGTTCTGAAGCCAGCTTATTATGCTGTTATTGAGGAACCATCAAAAAATCACATTTTAAAGCTGACGGAATTACTTCATAATGTTTCTCCTTCGGCACTTCAAGTACAGCGGGATTTAATTCTTTATCCACTGGAACTACATTTACAGAACTATCAGCTTGGGTAATTAGATTTTAGTCCTAAATTTCAGATGCTGTACCTCATTGTCCCTTACTGAGAATGTCTCCCTAAGCAATGGCACTTCTGACATTTACTCAGGGGGTTCATAATTTGAATCTGTTTTGAACAATGACTATTCTGACCAAAGATTTTTTTTTATAGTTTTCCTTAGTCCTTCCAGGCAAATTCCAGAATAATTTCTCATTTAACCCATGACTGCTTCCTTCCGCATCCTTTCCAGTTCATTTTTCACCAATTATCATACCATTTGACATTGCATAATGTGAGACAGCATTGCTGCATAAGCCACAAGCAATACCATAATCTCAGGTTTTATATTAATTGACTACTCTAAGAAGAAATTGACAGGAATGGGAAAATATTTTACTTGAGGACCAGATTTGGTTGTTTTGAAATGACAGCAGCTCTCTCAAGAAAAGTCCTGTATTTCAGACCCTGTTAAATAGCTAGCAGTTATTTATACTGAATGATACATATTTTATATGTATACTGAAAAATATAAAAATAACATCTTACAAAAATAGTTTAGACAATACTGTAAGTTGAGAATGGTGTTTGTAAGATGCTCTGGAGTAAATTTGTAAAATTTTAAATGGATTCTAAAGGGTTCTGACGATAGTGGATGACATACAGAATTACTGGACTTTTTCCATCGTCCGGAATTTTAGGTACTAGAGGACATGACGTTTTGGAAACTGGATCTGTTTCCGTCTTCAGGTGAGAAAGGAAGACACCTACTCAGTTGGGCCCCTTAGGAAGAGGTAATCTCAATCACTGGATGGTGGTAATAGGTAATAGAGGACACGACATTTTGGAAACTGGATCCGTTTCCGTCTAGAGGTGAGAAAGGAATCACTGGATGGTGATTGCGATTAGCT